GGGCACTGTGGCGGGCGCCTATAGTCCCAGCTACTTGGGAGGCCAAGGCAAAAGAATCACGTAAGCCCAAGAGTTAGAGGTTGCAGTGAGCTATGATGCCACAGCACTCTACCCGGGGTGACATCGTGAGACTCTGTCTCCAAAAAAAATAAAAAATAAAAAATAAATCAATATACAAAGTCTGAAAAGAAGCATGAATGAAATGAAAACCAGCTTTGCACCCTTAGCTCAGTAGTTAGGATGCTGGCCACATACACTGGGGCTGGCAGTTTCAAACCCGGCCTGGGCCTGTTAAACAATGACTACACCAAATGTTGTGGCAGGCACTTGTAGTCCCAGCTACTGGGAGGGTGAGGCAAGAGAATCTCTTGAGATCAAGAATTTGAGGTTGCTGTGAGCTGTGACACCACAGCACTCTACTGAGGACGATATAGTAGATTCTGTCTCAAAACAAACATAAAACCTTTCAAGTATAGTATCACAGAGCCAAAGCCAAAGCATGATACTATAAAATAACCTGGCACACTACTCCTAAAGTCCTTAGACTCCCTAATGTGATCTTTTTGTATGCTAATGAGTTGACTGGTGACTAGTATACCCTAGTTATAGGATTGGAGCTGGTCCCTGGAAGGACCAAGCATGCTTAGAGGGTTGAGACTTACTTACTTTTTTTTTTATTGTTGAGGATACATTGAGGGTACAAAGAACCAGGTTACACTGATTGCATTTGTTAGGTAAAATCCCTCTTGGATAATTGTGTTCTGCCCCTAAAAGATATGTCACACTGTGACCCCTCCACCCTCCTTCCCTCTCTCTACTCTTCCTTTCCCCTACCCCCTCCTTCCTTCCGCCCCCCCACCAAATACTAGGTCATCAACTATCCTCATGTGAGAATTGAGTACAAAGGATTCTTGTTTCTCCATTCTTGTGATGCTTTACTAATATGTTCCACTTCCATCCAGGTTAATACAAAAGATGTAAGGTCTCCAACTTTCTTAATGGCTGAATAGTAGTCCATGGTATACATATACTACAGCTTATTAATCCATTCCTGGGTTGGTGGGCATTTAGGCTGTGTCCACATGTTGGCGACTGTAAACTGAGCTGCGATAAACAATCTAGTGCAAGTGTCCTTATGGTAAAAGGATTTTTTTCCCTCTGGGTAGATGCTCAGTAGTGGGACTGCAGATCAAATGGGAGGTCTAGCTTGAGTTCTCTGAGGGTTCTCCATACTTCCTTCCAAAAAGGTTGTATTAGTTTATAGTCCCAGAGGGTGAAGACTTTGAGTTTCACCTCCTAACCTCAGGGGAGGGAAGAGGCTGAAAAGTAAGTCAATCACCAATGGCCAATAGTCTAGTCAGTTATCCCTATGTAATGAAGCCTCCATAAAAATCCTAAAGAACAGTTCCTGGAGGGTGGCCTTGGAAGCCCTGGAAGCTCTGTCACCTTTCCCAACGCATCTCTTCATCTGCATCCTTTGTAATAAATATCTTTTTATAATAAACCAGTAAATGTGTTTCTCTTGAGTTCTGTGAACAAATTAATCAAGCCTAAGAAGAAGGCTGAGGAAACCCCAATTTATAGCCAGTCAGAAACACAGGTAAAGCCACCTGGACTTCCGAATGGCATAGAGATAGTCTCAGGGGATCTGAGGCTATAGCTGCATAATTGATTGCCTGCTCATTGTATGGAGAAAATAACTCCATATATCTGGTCACAGAAGCCTTCTGTGTTGACTGTTGTTGAAGGAGAGAACAGAAATATCACCCCCACCCAACCACCAAATCAGACAAGAAAACAAAGCATTTTACTGAGGGACTGGCTAACAGTGCTAAATGCTATTTAGAATTAAATGAGAACATTGATCATTAAACTTAGTAACATCAGCCTTTGGGGAGACCTGTCCAGGTGCAAAGAGTAAAAATCAAGTGGGGTGAAAAGGAGTAGGTAGCAGAGCGTGATTTCAAAAGTGAACTACTCCCCCAACTATTATAATATAATAACTTCTCAAATGCTAACTAAATTTAACATGAACTGAATTGCAGGTCATTCAATTCTAGAAGTGAATAAACATTTATATAAGACTATATCCTTACCCAGTTGTTTTCTTGACTTTGTTTTAGAATGAATCTCTTCAGCATCATCTAATACAAGGTTCATATACTCATCAAAACCCTAGAAAAATAAGCCAATTGACTGTCATCTTCAATGAAATCACATCCAAACTATCCTAAAAGAGTACACATATCTGGACACAGAAATGCCAACTAACTTCAGAAATTCACTCTTCTACTGATTTTTCAACTGAAAAACTGCCTCCCACCTAAAACTTCTTTAAATAACAAAGAAAACCAGAATGTAGTCTAAATCAACCTTTTAGATTCAGGATTTCATTAGATATGCCAACAAGCCATTCTTTTACCTTCTACCACCATACTCCCCATGTTCCCCACAAAATATCATTGTCACTACGTACTATACTTGTTTTCCAACTGATAAATGGGGAAGATTATTGACAGAACCTCTGGCATCTAAACAAAATGCTAAAGTATCCTAACATAATACCTCTAGCCGTATTTTATCTTTCTTTAAAACATTACTCAGGGCTCGGTGCCTGTGGCTCAAGTGGCTAAGGCGCCAGCCACATACACCTAGGGTAGTGGGTTCAAATCCAGCCTGGGGCCACCAAAACAACAATGATGACTGCAACCAAAGAATAGCCAAGCGTTGTGTCGGGCACCTGTGGTTCCAGCTACTTGGGAGGCTTAGGCAGGAGACTTGCTTGGCCCCAGGAATTGGAGATTGCTGTGAGCTGTGATGCTACAGCACTCTACCCAGGGGGATAGCTTGAGGCTCTGTCTCAAAAAAAAAATTACTTAGGGTACCCCACTATTCTGGAATTCTTGGTAAAGGGATCCTACTGCTTCAGCCTCCCGAGTAGCTGGGACTATAGTATGTACCTCTACATCTGGCTCAAATTATTTTTAAAAGTTAATTTTCCCTCTCTCTCTCTCTTTCTTTGAGACAGAGTCTCACTATGTTACCCTGGGTAAAGTGCCGTGGCATCCACAGCTCACAGCAACCTCACAGTCTTGGGCTTAAGTGATTTTCTTGCCTCAGCCTCCCAAGTAGCTGGGACTATAGGCGCCCACCACAATGCCTGGCTATTTTTTAGTTGTAGCTGTCATTGTTGTTTGGCAGGCCTCGGCTGGATTCAAATCTGCCTGCTCCAGTGTATGTGGCTGTCGCCCTAGCCGCCAAGCCAATTTTTCCTCTCTTTTTTAAATTACCTAATTCCTATCAACTAGAATAATAAAAAAACAAAATTAGTGAGCCCCCAGCTGAGCATTTTCTGTGAAATCTTATTCTACAATGAGCTGCTCTGAGAGAAAATACCCTGGATAAAAAAAAAAATAGCCCGGATACTCACAATGATACAGCCCTCTATCCGCATATTCACTTGCTCATAGAGCCACACCTGAATCCGGGATCTCTGAAATGGTCACAAACATATAAATGTTTTTTTAAAAGTAGACAAAAATCAATCACTTTGGTCAAACAATAGAGAAATATGGTTCACAAAAAACCTTTTAACAAACATAATTAAGTCTACCCATGTCTAAGAACTGTCAACCAAGAATGGTTACTTACCAATTAATATTTTTATTTACTAAATGCCGTATTTGGAATGTCCAAACTAATGGTATTTCTTACTTATAGTTTCAATACATTAATTTTTTTTTGAAATAGTCTCACTTTGAAACACTCTACCCTGAGTAGAGTGCCGTAATGTCATAGCTCACAGCAATGGCAAACTCTTGAGCTCAAGCTATTCTCTTGTCTCAGCCTCCCAAGTAGCTGGGACTACAGGCGTCCACCATAACACCTATTTTTAGAGATGGGGTCCTGCTCTTGTTCAGGCTTGTCTTGAACCCATGAGCTCAGGCAATCCGCCCGCCTCTGCTACCCCGAGTGCTAGGTGACCATGAGCTACCATGCCAGGCCCTTAAGTCTTCAATACATTTAAACTGGTGACAGTACAGCACAAAGCAATAATTTCTCATGATCAAGGGCTTCTTTTTCTTCTATACCAAAATCCAGCACTAAAAAAGGAATTTCTCTAGGTTCTCAGTTTTCCATCTCACACATATAGTACCCAGGGGAGGGACCATCAATTCTGGTTAAAAATTATAAGGGGGCTTGGCACTCGTAGCACAATGGTTACAGTGCCAGCCACATACACCAAGGCTGCAGAGTTTAAACCTGGCCCAGGCCAGCTAAACGACGACAACTGTAACAAAAAATAGCCAGATGTTGTGGCGGGCGCCTATAGTCCCAATTACTTGGGAGGCTGAGGCAAGAGCCCAAGAGTTTGAGGTTGCTGTGAGCTGTTAACACCACAGCACTCTATCAAGGGCGAAACTCTGTCTCAAAGAAAAACAAAAAATTATAAGGGACTGAAATTAACCTATTTTTCAATTACACTGTTTGTCACACTGTAAAATTTAAGTTGCTGAAAATCTCCCCAGAGAAAAGGAGCTGCCACTAAATTCTCAATCTACCCCTTCCCTCTTCCTTTTTTTAGAGTCTTTTTAAAACTTAAGTTTTTTCCACAGGTACTTAAATACACCACCTTCTGACCTGGCTTAGGCTGAGTAGGTTTTTCTTCCAATGTTTCATCTTAAGAAGATAACAAAAGAAAAAGGTTCCAATGTTCTTGTAAAATCACTACCAACAAAATACCAATACGCAAACACCACCTCATGTCTGTCAAGATATACTTTCTGAAACGACTAATTGTGATGTTGTAAAGTAATGACAACACAATTCACACACCATATGAGCTTTCCGTGCATCTTTCCCCTCAATTACCCCTTCAATTACTAGTTTCAAATCTAGTTTTTAACCTTAGAAGACAGCGATCAGGAAAGTTTACACAAATAACCAAGCAGAATCACTTTTTACTTAAAAAGCAGTTCGGAAACAATTAACTACTTACGTACATTTTGTAAGTATCTGAAGATGAGGTTCTGCACAATGGTTAAGGAGATTTCAAAGTAGCACAGACTCTGCTCCCTGAAACAGGTCAAATCTACCCCCATCTCACTGTTATTTCATGAATGCCGAGACCTGGTGCCTCCGCCAACTTAAGTGCCCAAGTGGACACTCACTAGGGGTCTCCTCACGACTCCGAAGGTACCCCCTCATTCTCCTGGTGTTTCCTTGTGCTGACAAGATTATCTTCCTATTGCCCAAGACCGCTAACTCCCGCTTTCACTCAGCACCTATTTAAAGTGGTCTGACTTCAGCTCGGCCCCCTGCACTCCTGCATTCCTGCATTCCTCAATGCAGGGTCTACCCAAGCATCCCCCACCCTCCAGCAGACACACCCGTCACCGATTCTCCAACTACCCGCGCTTTCTCCCCATCTCGGTCGCCCCGAGGGCTCATGGGATGTGGGTCGTGCGCCGCTCTTCAGGCCGGCTCTCAGCCTGCTCCCTCCCACCCGGCATTCTGGCCCGAACCTCCTAGTCCTGACATCCAGCGTAGGATACGATGGGCTGCACCATCACCTTCTGCACTTTCTGGCCCTGGCCGCGGTACGCCATGGCGGAATCTCACAAAGACCACACCGACCAGCACGCTATCCAAGAAAGAAACTTCCGGAATGAAGAACCGGAAGCGGAAGTACGTAGAGGTCATCAGGAGATGTGGGTGGTTCCTAAAATGCCTCTCTAGCCATGGAGTTGCTTTACTCTGTGCTTCTTAGCGTCCGGGGGAGGTCAAATGAGGCTGGGGCACTTTGAAACCCGGGTCGATTCTACAGCGCCACCTGGAGGGAGGAAGAAGGAGGGGCTAACGGGCTTCGGTATGGTGGTCGTGTCTTCATTTTCTGAGATGCCCAAAGCTATCTCATTGCGTATCTCCGTCTGTAAAATGACTTATTTTAGTGCTTTGCCTAAGGTGACCAGACGTCCCACTTTTGGCAGGACAGTCCTGATTTTTAACAATTTGTCCCGCGTCCCACAGCGTTTTAAAAAAGTCCCGATTTTTGCAAAGAATGCACGACAAGCTAGGAAACGGTGGGACAATGGGAAGGGAATATACGGTTTTGGCTGCTGAAAAGGTTAATGTAACTCCATTTGGGAATGAAGAAGTTAATGTAACTTCATTTGGAAATAAAGAGGCTAATGTAAACTTCCTACTCCCCTCCTGGGCAAGGTCACCCAGGTGGACCGGCGCCCTACTCCTTTGAGCCCCAGGCTCCACCCTATACATATATATTTTTAATGTATTATATTTGTAAATTGTACTTATGTTGAAATTAAAAATTTATATATTACAATACTATTTTTGTGTGCTATGAAAATTTTTGTTGCTCCATATAGACCAAATTTTTAATTAAGAAACCCCCATCCCCCACTCCCGTAAATGGTGCCCTGCTTTACCAATGTTAAAATCTGGTCACCTTAGCTTTGCCTGAGGCATATTTTGCTGCAATTTAGGCTTTAGGCTTTTTTGTGATAAAAAGGGAAGGCAAAAGCCCAAATTCCAGGTCTAGCACATCTGACATTCAGCCATTGGCAGTTTGAATTCTAAAGCTAGACGTCGTGGTTTGATCCAACAACCGAATTCAGTTCTCATCAACCTTGTGGAGATGTGTGTTTGCTTGTTTGTTTGTTTTGAGACAGTCTCACTGCTACCCTTGGGAGAGTGTTGTGGCATCACAGCTCATAGCAACCTCAAACTCTTGGGCTCAAGTGATCCTCTTGCCTTAGCCTCCTGAGTAGCTGGGACTACAGGTGCCTGCTAAAACACTGAGTTATTTTTAGAGACAGGTTTCATTCTTACTCAGTCTGGTCTCCAACTCCCTAGCTCAGACAATTCACCCACCTCAGCCTCCCAGAGTGCTAGGGTTTGAGGCATGAGCCACCACTCCTGGCATGCAGAGTTACTGTTAAGGTGGCAACCGCTATTGATGGTTTAGAGGGAAGGCAATGAAATCAGCTTGCTGAGTGGAAATCCAGCTCCCTTAAAGTTGTGTGACTAAGGCAAAGTTATTCAGCCC